TTTTAAGTTATGTATAATATTTAATTATATAATATTATGGTTTAAGTGCGAGGAACATCATATTTAATTAATAAAGGTAACACAGAAAATGTTTAAAAAAAACCCTCCAATTTGAACGTAATTTAAAATCTGAAACCTTTCACTTTTTTTTTTTTAATTTTTAATTTTTTTAACGTTTTAATTATATAATTAAAGGGGGGCTTTTTCTCTCTGAGAAACTATTGCTTTAATTTTGCGATTTTGCGTCGGACCGCTCTGAATATCCGTTTCACTTTTCAAATTGTTGACACCAAATATTATTGTCCTCTATTTTATTTGAAGAAATTAAATAATGAAGAATATGCTCGTATATTTCTCGCATTGTGGTAAACAACGGTGCCTACAGCCATCCAATTTTGAATAGCATAATCCTCTACCGAATATAGACATCCAGGAGCCCTGATCTGGTATTTGGAATTTGGTTTCATTATCTATTTTATATTTTGTCAGACATTAAGGGGGCTCATACACCTTAAACCTCTCATGATCTTCGAATATGTGACTGTTGCAAGAATTGGGATATTTTATTTATTTTAAAAGCAATTACTTCCTAACTTTTACAGCTGAATACATAATATAGCTGCTTTGGAAACTAGTAACCAGAAAGTTTGTGTTGCCACAAATATGTTTGTAATTTAATCCTCTTTGTGACAAAATATTTCGCCATGTTTCCACCTTGGTACATACTTGAAATTTGATGGAATTCTTTACATGGGCACTATTTTCTAACTGAATCAAAAATCTGATGAATATTTTAATATTAAAAAAATGTATGCACGAAAACATTACATACTTTTTTAATATAATACATTTTATAAACTCAACTCCAAATAAAATAAAAATTTTAACATGAAATTCTCAGAATTTTTGATTCACTATAATCGTTCCAAATGTTATAAATGCTATATATTAAATACACAATTAAATTATGCAACAGAATGTTTTAAACTGTGCCCGCAAGGTGGAAAAATGGCGAAAATTTTTGTCCACAAAGCGGATTAAATTATAAAAATATTTGTGGCAACACAAACTTTCCGATGACTATTTCGGAAAGCAGCCATATTGTGTAGTCAACTGTAAAATGTTGGAAGTAATTGCTTTTAAAATACATAAGTTATCCCAATTCTTGCAACAGTCACCTTTTCGAAGATCTTATGGGTTTTAAGGTGTATGAGTCCCCTTAAAGAATTTTTGATTAATAAACTCTAAGATTTCAAAGCGATCAATGGCAACACTGTACGGAAAAATAAAAAAAAAATAAAAATATCTCCAGCGCGCGAGACTGTGTATCGGTAATTCTAAAGATATGCTCATTTAAAAATGATTTTGCGATATTGCTGTTGAACTGAATTTTACGGTTTAAGTGCGAAGAACATGATATTTAATAAATAAAGGTAACACACAAAATGTTAAAAATGTTTGGACGTAATTTAAAATCTGAAACTTTCCGAATTTTTATTTTTAATTTTATTTTATGAGTGAAAAGTTTATACAAATATAAGAACTTGGGGGATTGTGTACATGGTCGAATATCTTAATTCGCCCAAAATGGCCTTTTTCTAAATTTAGAAATGCCAAATCTTAATATTTGCCGCATTTATAGCATTTTTGTCATGGGAAGTACGTGTCTACGACAAACGGTTACCAAAATAATGGCTGCATACAGATTTTTGCTGACAGGGTACAACTGAGTAATAAATCGCCATTATTATCACATTACAAATAGGAAAGCCGAGCCCTTCTACCCTTTTCCGCCACACCGTCTAATATACTCCTTTGTCTCTGAGTAAGTTTCATTAGCAAAAATAGTGATTTTTAATTTCTCGCCTCATCCTTCGCTCAAAAACGTCCTTGTTTGAGATAACTAATAACTTTCACTTAAACCATAAATTTCACTAGAGTTTCGTAAAGCTTTAATTATTTTTTTACTAAAAAATATAATAAAGGATGAAACGAAGGCCTTAATTTTGTTTAAAGCGCAATTAAAGGATTTTGCCCAATTTTTAAACGCAACTCTAATGATACCTAAAAACAAAACTTTGCCATTCTTAAGGATACTGCCATACCACGTGATTTATGACAGATTTACGGAGATTAATTACTCAAAGGCAGAAATCTCTACATTTTTACTTCCTTGTACGAAGTAAAAAGGAAGTATTGTAATCGCGAAAAGTTTCAGGCAGCATATTTCAACGAAAATATCCATTTTGACCGCTATCGAATGCAATTTAACGATGTTTTTGCGTGATATCTGTACGTAAGGACAGAAATAAAAGACTCGTTTTCCCTCCAAAAAAATTATAAAACTGCTTTAAAATGAATTCTGAAGAGAATTTTTCGTGGCGTCTGTACGAACGTATGTACGTACGTGCCTCGCATAAATCAAAAAACGAGTAGTAGCCTCAGAACGTTGAAATTTTGTATATAGGACTGCTATAACATGTAGATGTGCACCTCGTATTTTGGTTGCAATCAGCCGCACCAAACGTATATAAATATATTTATCTATATATCCACACTGTTACCCGGCTCCGTAATCTCAGTTTCTTTACTCTTATATGTTTGTAAATTGTACATTTTTTGCTTTAAAAATGATTGAATTACATTGTTTTTATCTTCCGGTTAAGGATTTTATGACTTTGGTAAATCTGTGTGCAATACTTTTAGAATTATTAGCAATTTTAAAGTTGTTTAATTGTCGCTAAGCCTGTTTTTAATGGCGGCCATTGATGTTTACATTTGAAACAGGAGACTAGTGGATTTGTTGTCAATCTAGAGAAACTTAGTTTCGCGACAACAAAGATAACGCATTCATTTATTATTGCCAATTAAATCATGCTTAATTCTTTCTGGAAATTTTTCGAGGAAATAAGCGTTTGAAATTTACTTCGTAATTTTTAATATAGATATTTTGAGCTTTTATGTATTTTTGCCTTCTCGCGAAGTGAGAACTGAATTAATTAAATGAGAAATACTCAATCGTCTGTGAAAAACTGTTGCTTTTTTGTTTTGTTTGCTTAATTTCTTTTATGGATAGTTTTAGCTTTATTATAGTATTTGAATAGAACATGTGGCAATGATTAGATAGTTCTTTAAATGCTATACATTTTGTGCATTCTGAGTTATAATATGAACGAAATATAATACTGTTAAGTAAACCTAGCGCCAGAGTGTCGCTACGGTAAGTGAATTTTAGAGAATGCATTCTATTGTGGTTTATGCGCTGTCGGCGAAGTAGATTTAATTCAATCTAATAAGTTTAAATAAAATGCAAGAAAAAATGCGTATAATTTAATATTCAATACAAGGAAGGTCATGTGGTGTACACATCAGATTTTTTTAAAATTATATTGTATTTATTTTTTATCCCAAAGGTCGTTAGCTCAAACGGGATATTAATTTCGTTTTGGCATTTTGCGTTGATTCACCATCAACGGCAAAATTGTTGCCATCAAATATTCGAGCTTTGTATTATATTTAAAGAAATTAAATCATGAAGAATCTGCGTTAATGTATGTATGTTCCTCGCGTTATGATAAAACGACAGTACCTAAACCCATAAGATGTTTATCCTCCACCCAACCATATGCACCCCGAACTCTGAATTTTGAATTTGTTTTATTATGTATTTAATATTTTGTAAAACCAATTTCATATCTTCTCATACATTAAAGAATTTTTTATTAACAAACTCAAGGATTTCAAAGCGAGCAATGGCAACGTTGTACAAAACGAAAAAAAATTATCTCCTAAAAAATATCCTAAAAAATTAATAATATATCCTAAAAAAAAATTCTTTTTATTTAGAAATTTAACTTTTAAAAAAATTATTATTTATTTTTAAAAAAATTAACGCCGGAGATTGTGTATCGGAAATGTATGGCCTTTTTAAGTATTTTGTGCTATTGCTATTGAATTTAATTTTATGGTTTAAGTGAGAAGAATTTGATATTTAATAAATAAAGGTAACACACAAAACGTTAAAAAAAAAAGCCCATTTTGGGCGTAATATAAAATCTGAAAGCTTTTAGATTTTTATCTCTTTTTTTTTTTTTTTTTAGTCCAGAACGGCTATTAATTTCGTTTTGGAATTTTGCGTCGATTCACTTTTGGAATTGTTGCCACCAACTATTGCAGTGTATTATAGTTAAAGAATCTAAATAACGAAGAATTTTCATTAATGTATGTTTGTTTCTCGCACTGTGATAAAACGACGGTACGTAGAGCCACCCAATTTTGAATAACGTACGTCTCCACCCGAATATGGACATCTGAAACAGGAATTTGGAAATTGTTTTATTATCTATTTCATATTTTCTAAAGCATATGTCAGTTTTTGATTAAGAAACTCAACGATTTCAAAGCGAGCAATGGCAACAGTGGGAAAGAAAAGGGCGATGGGGAAAGGGGGAAAAACATTTTTATCTCCAACGCGCGAGACTGTGCATTGGAAATTCTATAGATATGCTCATTTTAAAATTATTTTGCGATATTTCTGTTGAATTGAATTTTATGGTTTAAGCGCGAAAACATACTATTTAATAAATAAATGTGATACTCAAAACGTTAGTAAAACGACCCCTTTGGGCATAATATAAAACCTAAAAGCTTGCAGAAACATTAGGTGATTTCGAAGCAGCAGAGATGAAAAAAGGCAATGCCTTCGCCGGGACTCGAACCGCGGACCTCTGAAATATGCACCGAGCGTGCTGACCACTACACCACAAAGGCACACTTTATAAGCTTTCATTCTTTTTTTTTTTTTTTTTTTTTTTAGGATTAATTTATGTACGAATAAAAATACAGAAAATGCTATAATTATATTTTTAGAGCACGCTGTTCCATTCTCTTAGCTTTTTATATCAGTTTAGGATTTTAAATCAGTTATTATGAAATTTGGCTAGCATGTATAAAGCATATTTATACAATACAATAAATAAATAAAATAAAAACTAACTTACCCAAAAGTGCGAAATGGCATTAACCTCAAACGTCTTTTGGATCATATGATCGGGGCAGTCCAACAATCGTTTGCCAGTGACAATACCAGCATTATTGACGAGGATATTTACTCTTCCAACTTCTCTTTTTACTTTTGCAGCTGCATCGTACACCAGCTGGGGCTTAGACACATCACACTGATATGCGTATGCCTCTCCGCCATTTTCTTTAATAATTTTTACAGTTTCTTCGGCAGCATCTAAATTCAGATCCCAAACCACGATTTTCGCACCATGGGATGCGAATCGCGTAGCCAGCAGACGGCCGATTCCACTTCCGCCGCCGGTAATCAAAACTACTTCACCGGTGATGTCTTTGTACCGCAGTCGTTTCGGAATAAAAGCCAGAACAATCGATTCTAGCCAGTAATAAAGCAGTAAACCAAGATTCGATACGATTCTAGTAAATGACGATGCCATGTTGGAGTAGCAATGAAGTACAGTTATTCCATGAAAATTAAAGAGCTCAGATACAACCCTTCGACCTCACTTCACGCCGACGACCGTAGGAATGACGACTCCATTCTCTACAGCTGTACATTCATTTCGCGGCAACTGAAGGTCATCACAGTCCCGTTCGGTCGCCAAATATGCCAAAATAGTCGCCAATGTTTACAGTTTTGGCGTTAACGGATGAGGGTTTTTTTCCCTGTATTTACTAAATTCTTACGCGGGTTATTTCAAAGAATTACTGAATTTTATTTTCAGTAATTCGGTTGGAATAATTAATAATACATCCCGACAGGAATTCTACCAATTCTAGAAATAATTAATAATAATTCCTTTAAATTCCACGAATTATTGAATTTTATTTCCAGGAATTCAATTTTTTCTTTCCCTTTCCTGTTACTTTTATTTTTAATTTAGCAGAATATAATCAATTCTGAAGAAAGAGCATAAAATGTAGATTTGCAGTTTACAGGCCAAATTTGCAAAAGTATATATATATATTATTAATTAATATTTCTGTTGATTATCACACAACTTGTAACTTGTAAATTTTTAAATCATAAATTAAGAAGGTAAAAATTTTCATAAAGATCTGCAATCTGAAAACTTGAGATTATAGTCTAATGTTTCACAGAAGAGTTTACATTTAAACATAAATAAAAAATTTTTTAATGAAAAAAAAAAAAAAAAAAAAAAAAAAAGATAAATAAAAATCCGAAAACTTTTTCATTTTATATTACGCTCAAAGGAGCGCCTTTTAACGTTTTGTGTGTTACATTTACTTATTGGTCTTGAAACGGCATTTTGCATCGAAACACTATAAACGGTTAAATCACTTCTCACGTTCTTGCCCCCAGTATTATATTTAATCGCTATATCGCTGTGTATTATATTTAAAGAAATTAAATAATGAACAATCTGCATGAATATATGTATGTATGTATGTTTCTCGCATTGTGAAAAAACAAAGATACCTAGAGGCACCAAGTTTTGAATAACGTTGTCCTCCACCCGAATATGAGCACTTGGAAGCCTGAATTTCGAATTTTTTTATTATCTATTTTATACTTTTTTAACTTTAACGAATTTTTGATAAGGAAACTCAACGATTCAAAGCGAGTAGTGGCAACACTCTGTAAGAAAAAAAAAATATTTTTATCTCCAGCACGCGAGATTTTCTATTGGAAAATAAAGATAGGCTGTTTTTAAATATTTTCAGCCTAAATGCTCTCGAAACGTACGAGTAAACGAAAATATCTGATGTGGCCACCACATGAATTCCTTGTACGTCCTATTAAATTATGCACATTTTTTGCTGCATTTCACTTGAACTTATTTCCTCAAATTTCATTATAAATTAATTTTTCATTGAATTAATTCAATTCTCACTTTACGGCATGTCAAAAATACAAAAACTCCAAACATCTTCTTTAAAAATTGAGAAATGTAGAAAAACATAAACACCAAATACAATTAAAACACTTGAAAGAATTTTTTTTTACAGTAAAAATTACAGTAAAATTTCTGCGCAAAAGCAAGCTATTCGGCCAGTTGGCAAGAAGACAGAGTTTTCGGTGGACAAAACTGAAAATTTACTTTTGGTCCCATTCGGCAAAAAGACACGAAAGGTGCAGAAACTGAATTCACTATTCTGCTAAGTTTCAAATGTAAAGAAATATGGCTGCTATGGTAAAAAAAAATCAGCTTTAGCCGCGCTTAAACAACTTTTAAATTATTGATAAATCTACAACTATTGCATGCGGATTAACTTTAAGCATAAAAACATTAACTGGAACATAAGAACAACATAATTCAATCGCTTTTAAAGCCAAAATACACAATTTACCAACATATAAGAATGAAAAGGAAACTGCGGTCACTGAGCCGAGTAACAAAGTGGGTTTATATATATATTTATATACTTTTGGTGAGGCCGATTGCAACCGAAATGGGAGGTGCACAACTACATATAGTAGTTCTACATACAAAAATTCTACATACATTTCAACACTCTGGGGCTACTCGTTTTTGAGTTATGGGAGATAGGTACGTACCGTATGTACGTATGTACGGACGTTACAAAAAAAGTTGTTCTGAATCCGTTTTAAATCCATTTCATCATCCGTTTAGGGCTTTCCTTTATTTTGACCTTACGAAGAGAGGTCACGGGGAAAACTTCTTTAAATTGCTATCAATGACGGTCAAAATGGATTTTTTTGTGATTGCAATACTTCTTACTTCGTGCAAGGAAGTAAAAAGGGCACCTTTGGGCGTAATGTAAAATCTGAAAGTTTTAAGATTTAAACAAATATTCTTGCAAATGGAAGCGAAGCAGTTATGTTACATATATGCTAATATGTATATAGATTTATCCTGTCATCTTTTAAATAAATAAATAAATAGCTACAAACTCTATATACTACGTTAAAAATTCGACTTTGAATTATTACCCTGCACGATTTCGGTACATGGAACATCTTGACAGGAGAAATGAAACAGTTTTTGCAAGAGTTTCTATAACATGTATTTTATTTAAAAATACAGATATAATTGAGATTTTTTAGAGTAAATATACATATCTCAGCTTATATGTAAATAAAAAGAATTTAATTAGCTGCATAAATTAGTTTGCAAGACCTAATTAACTTTGTATATATCTACATGAAATTTCTTGAACAATATGTCTGTTAGGTACACATTTCTAAAAACCCTATTGAGTTTATCACTTTTGTAGGTTTAATTTGGTAAGGTATTTGAAAATTTGGTAAGGTAACAGAAAATATACTTTTTGAGAATAATAAAAAGCAAATTTCATTTTGGTTAAAAAAAAAAAAAAAAAAAAAAAAAAATTATTTTGGTAAAAAGAACATGGAAAATTTCAAAACTTTTTTTCATTATTTTCAAAACTTTCCAATTCAGACCTATAACGTCCTATACATTTTTACTTCCTTATACGAAGTAAAAAGGAAGTATTGTAATCGCGAAAAGCTTCAGGCAGCATATTTCAACGAAAATATCCACTTTGACCGCTTTCGAATGCAATTTAACGATGTTTTTGCGTGATATCTATACGTAAGGACAGAATAAAATAATCTTTTCCTCCAAAATAACTAAAAACCTGCTTTAAAATGAATCCTGAAGAGAATTTTTCGTGGCGTCTGTACGAACGTATGTAAGTACGTGCGTGCATACTTACGTATCTCGCATAACTGAAAAACGAGTAGCCTCAGAACATTAAAATTTTGTATATAAGACTACTATAACGTGTAGATGTGCACCTCGTATTTTGGTTTCAATCGGCCGCGCAAAACGTATATAAATATATTTATAAATATATCCACTCTGTTACCCGGCTCAGTGATCTCAGTTTCTTTACTCTTATATGTTTGTAAATTGTACATTTTTTTGCTTTAAAAATGATTGAATTATGTTGTTTTTATCTTCCGGTTAAAGTTTTTATGCCTTTCGTAATTCTCGAAGCAATATTTGTACATTTATCAACAATTTAAAAGCTGTTTAAGTGCGGTTAAGTTTTAAATAACATGGCGGACATATTTGTTTACATTTGAAACAGCAGAATTGTAGATTTGTTGCCAATCTAGAGGGACTAAGCTTCGCAAAAAAAAAAAAAAAAATAACGCCTTCATTTATTATTGCAAATTAAATAATGCTTAATCCTTTCTGGAATTTTTTAGAGGAAATAAGTATTTAAGATTTACTTCGTAATTTTTACAGATATTTTGAGTTTTTATGTATTTTTACCTTGTCGCGAAGTGAAAACTGAATTAATTGAATGAGAAATACTCAATCGTCTGTGAAAAACTGTTTCTTTTTCGTTTTCTTTGCTTAATTTCTTTTATACATCGTTCTAGCTTTGTTATAGTATTTGAATAGTACATGTGGCAACGATTAGATAATTCTTTAAATGATATAAATTTTGTGCATTCTGAGTTATAATATGAACGAAATATAATACTGTTAAGTGAACGTAGCGCCAGAGTGTCGCTGTGGTAAACAAAGTGAATTTTAAAGAATGCATTTATTCTATTGTGGTTTATGCGCTGTCGGCGAAGTAGGTTTAATTCAATATAATAAGTTAAGTGAAATGCAAGAGAAAATGCGTATAATTTAATATTCCGTACAAGGAGGTTATGTGGTGTACACATCAGATTTTTTTTAAAGGAAAAAGTTAGTTGTACAACTTGGGAATGTTTAAGTACTCTACCATGAATATATTTTAAGAAAAATGTTCGGAAGCATTAAAGAAACACATTTTGATAAACATTCAGAAAAAGTATGCTACCCACAATGCTAAAAATGTACTATTTTACAACCTTCCAGTGCCATAATCATTTTGTTTTAGAATTTCTACATCAAATGTTCTCTTTTCTATCATTTTAATTTTCGCTTTGGCTGATTTAGAGAGATTTTAGAAACTTAAGGATGCCTCTTAACCTCGAGCCTCATCAATTTTTTTTCAATGAATAATATATTATATGGATAATATTTATTAGAATTTTGGAACAAATGTGCTGTTGTAAGCCTCATTGCTAAAACAAATTACAGCATCTAAAAATATTAGCTATCCTAATATCTATCTGCCTATTATCAGAGTAGTTATTGAGACAAAAACTGTTTTAGGTAAGCGTTCCCATAAACTAGGGGTCTTCAATCCGTGGGCCGCTGCTGAAGGCCTTTTAGTGGCCTCACATTTAAGTATGAGAAAACAATGAAGAATTTTAAGAAATTTTGATTTCAAAACAATTGCCTTGTCAGCTTTTTGTTGCCAAAAAAAATTATCTTATTCTTGATAATTAAAGCATTTTGTTGACATGCCTGATATTATTTGAGATAAACGTTTCTGAAAATGATCTCAATGATTTGAACTACTGCTTTTCTGGGAAAAGATCTACTTTTCATAATCTTTATTACTTTATAAAAGCTTTCGAGACAAAATTAATCCTGTCTGGAAGTCAGTTGCTAACTAAGAATTCCACTGACTTTCCAAAACTGATGGAGTGTGTGAAGAACTCTACAACACGGAATTCAAATAATTATGC